GGCCGTCTCAAGATGGGAGCAGACGCCCTGTCGAGGCAGGGGCCGATGCCCGGGGAATGGAGGCTCCACCCCGAGGTGGTGGAGCAGATATGGCGTATGTTCGGCCGAGCTCAGGTGGATCTGTTTGTGACTCAGGAGACATCGCACTGTCCCCTCTGGCTCTCTCTGACTCATCCAGCTCCACTGGGACTGGATGCTATGGTACAGACGTGGCCAAGGCTCCGTCTGTACACTTTTCTGGAGTTCTGGAGAGAGTGCGCCGGGACGGGGTCCGCCTGCTGCTAGTAGCCCCGTTCTGGCCGGGCCGAGTATGGTTCTCGGACCTGATCTCCCTTCTCGATGGCTCTCCATGGGAGGTTCCTGTCAGGAGGGACCTCCTCTCACAGGCAGGGGGCGACATCCTTCACCCCCACCCGGAGCTGTGGAAGCTGTGGGTGCGGCCTCTGAGGGGGCACAACTCAAAGCTTCCGGTCTCTCAGCCGAGGTTGTTGAGACCATCCTCCAGTCCAGAGCTCCCTCTGTGAGGAAACTGTATGCCCTGAAGTGGAAACTTTTCACTTCCTGGTGCGGAGACCGCCGGCTCGACCCTGTTCACTGCCCAGTTGGTACAGTGCTGGAGTTCCTGCAGGCCCGTCTCTCCGCAGCGCTGACCCACTCCACCCTGAAGGTTTGTGTGGCGGCTATTGTGGCCTACCACGCCCCTCTCGGTGGTCAGTCAGTGGGCAGGCACCCCCTGGTTACATGTTTCCTCCGCAGTGTGCTGAGGCTCAGACCTCCAGTGCGATCTCGGGTCCCTCCGTGGGACCTGGCCGTGGTCTTAGAGGCTCTCTGTAAACCCCCCTTTGAGCCTATAGAGGACATTTTGGACCGTCTTCTGACATTGAAAACTGCCTTTCTCTTGGCTATTTCCTCTCTTAGGAGACTGGGGGATCTTCAGGCCCTCTCGGTGGCCCCCTCTTATTTAGACTTTGCGCCCGGTTTGGCCAAAGCGTTCTTGTACCCCCGAGCGGGGTACGTACCCTCCTCGGCACCACGGCCAGTCGTGCTGCAGGCCTTCTGTCCTCCTCCCTTTCGGGAGCCCGACCAGCGGAAGCTTAACTGCACGTGTCCAGTTCGAGCACTGGATGCGTACGTCCACAGAACTGCCCTGTGGAGGAGGGCGGACCAATTGTTTGTATGCTTTGGTCCCCCGAAGAGGGGTCTTCCTGCTACCAAGCAGACCCTCAGCCGGTGGATTGTGGAGGCCACTTCCCTGGCTTGTGAGTCCTCTGGTCTCCCCTCGCCCTTGGGGGTCAAGGCTCACTCTACCCGAGGTGTGGCGGCCTCGAAGGCCTTTCTGGCAGGTGTGTCCATGTAGGACATCTGCAACGTGGCGGGTTGGTCCACGCCCCTGACCTTTGCCAGGTTCTACGGCCTGGATATGCGAGCCACTCCTGGCTCTTCTGTCCTTTTGCCTTAGCTGTGCCTTTTCCACGCTGGACAGGGATTTGTAAGTCTGGCGGCGTGGGCATACTCATTCCCGCAGCGTTTTGATGCAGCTCGAGTTCCTGAAGGGGAACGTCTCCAGGTTACGCATGTAACCATGGTTCCCCGAGGGAACGAGACGCTGCGTCTCAGTGCCACACTTCTGGCATCCCTGCCGCGCTTGCCTCATTCTCAGAAGCTAGCGCGGCGCTTGCCGCTCGGGCTTTTATGCTTCCGGGTCGCTACGTCACCCCGCCTGTGACGTCTCGCCCATCCATTGGACTGATTACACATGTGATTCAGAGCGCAGTCACGCTGAAGGTGTTCCCATAGCGTTTCGACGCAGCGTCTCGTTCCCTCGGGGAACCATGGGTACATGCGTAACCTGGAGACGTTTTCTGTAAGTTTACCCCAAACACTTCATTATTTGAAAAAAATCAAAAGGAAAAGCTACTGATCATTAACTTGTCTTTACTTTGTTAACGTTGTACTTGTTTAGACATGTTTTTCTTAGCACAATTTTTTTTGCCCTATAGTGGCCCAAGCAAAACATATGTGACATTTTGTATTCTAATTTAGTAATGAATAAAAAGTTATTGAATTTATCCAACACCGTTCCAAAAGAACTGTGGCCCATTTTTTGCCCTGTAGCCCATTTTTTTTGTGAAAATAATAGACCGTCTGTGAGTTTGTCGGGGACCGTTGCCTCACTATTGTATATAGTATATATGGAGTGGAACTGCCAGCAGATTCAGTTTGTGGTGGTGGTAATGAATAAGATCAGTAGATTGGAGTTGTGAGCATCACACTTTTGGGCTGGGTGTAAGCTTGGCTGTACTGCAGAGTCTACCCATTATAAGACTGCTTTAAAGGCAGCCAGTGTCCTTTGCTGTCATTTTGTTATTCCTGATAATATCAGGAAGGCCCTCTCCAAGGAACAAAAGGAAACAGATATCATTTTTGCTTTTCTCATTTTCCTTAGTCACCTCTCTTGTCTACCTATATAACCTATCTACCTGTATAAGCTAGCACCTAGGCATTATTGGAATTGCTGATATAAAAGAGTTCATATCTGTCACCTTGCTTTATTGAATACAAACAGCCCATAGGTGAAGAAACAGATTATCTTATATTCCCCTTAGAAAGCACTATGAAAAGTTTCTAAAGTGATCTTGTGCTGCCACTGTCTGTACATGACCAGCACACCTGTAATTGTCAGTTCCAGAAATGATAAGGTTCCTAAGATGGAGCCATGTTTGGTGTAATTCTTGCTCACCCATCACTGTGTCTCTCCATCTTGCTCCATTTCTCCACCCCTATTTCTTAGCAGTCCATTAATGCCAAGTCACTCTTCGCTAATCCTGCAGCTGCTTGGCTGGCAGATAGAGCTGATTAAGGAACAGATGAAAGGTTAATTAGAATGCAGGGGAGTAATGATACCAT